GAAGGCTCCTGAACAGTCAAACCCGAGTTGCACCCTCATGGAAACAGGCCAGACCCCAGAAGCCTCTCCTGAGGTTAGCATTGGACCACAATTGCAAGGATGCTGTGCACTCTGTCTTTGAGGACTTGAAAGCTGATGGCCCTTTGGTTGAGGGCTCTGAGGGGTCATTTCCCCAGCTGGGGGTGGGACTCTCACTGCCTAAAGAGAGGTGAGACTGGGCCAGGAGGCCTAAGAAGTGCAGCTCTGTCTCCCAGGCCCGGGCCCCATGCAGGCAGAGGCCGCCCGCACACAGGGAGGGAGGCCCTGGCACTCACCCTGCTCCCGGCCCCCCAGCTGCAAGCCCTCCAGCTTTGAAGTTCTGTTTCCCTCATCTTCTCCAGATTCCTTTGCGAAAACTCATGGAACTAGAAGTTGCAAAAAGTCATTCATAGTCCAAAATGCCTGAAGAACTCTTTTAATGAGATTTTTCAAGACTTTTCATCTCTTTCCCCTACTGCCTGCCTTCCCAGGCAGGAAGCTGTGTAGAGTGTGATGTTTGTGTGCCAATATCTAAAGGCTCAATCCTTTGCTTCCAGAGGCTGCAGTGAGTGTACACAGGGGGTCAGTGGTTAATGCCAGGGCCAAAGTGGCTGCTGGTGCCTGAGCGGGAGCCTAAGGGCCTGAGCTCAGTCAGGCCAGGCTGCAGATGTGGAAGAGGGAGAGTTCTTCAGGGGGAGGGGATAGCGCAATGTTAAAAAACCACGAGGCAGGATCTTGGTAAGATTGCTTCAGAGCTGGGGGTGTCTGCCATTGAGGGACCTGAGAGGCGATGGGTGGGCGATTCAGGTGCCATCTTGGATTGTTACGGATGCAGGAGTTTTTGGTGGAGGGGTAGGTGGAGGGCAGCTTGGGCCTGCACAGGGCTCTATCTAGTCCCCACAGTGGGAAGCAGTCGCCATCTCTAATTGTCAGTGTGTCAACTGCCAGCTGGGGAGCCTTAGGTCAATCGTGAGTCCACTATGGGTCTCAGTCTCCCCACCCAGGAGCAAAGGGACTGGACTAGGTGGGTGTCTCAGGTCACTTCCAGGTTTGACATCTGATGACCTTCTGACCTGGTATCAGGAATGCTTAGGAGGGGCTGAGAGTCCGCTGCCTTCACTCCAGCCTTGGCAAGGTCATTATGCTGCCTCTACCTACGATGAGGAAGAGGATGTGAACTTTGTCCTAGCCAACCTATGGGGCCATCCAGAGCAAAAGCACAGGAATATAAGGTGCAGGGAGGCAGGGTCAGGTGGAAGTGGGGTTTAAGCTCAGGACCAGTGCCTGAGAGTGGACCCTGCACTTCAGTGGCCCCATCGCTAAGAACTGAGTCTCAGCTTCTCTGAGAGGCACAGGTCCTTGCAAGATTCTTCTGCACCTCCTGGGCTTTGCCTGGCTGTCCCCTCACCTGGGGTCCAACCAGCCTGGGGAATACCTACCCTCTCTTTAAGATTTGAGCGCACCTCCCCCCTGTAGCTTCTCCTGACCCTCTGTGGCAGGGACCGCTATCCCCATCCGTGCAAGGCCCTCCGTGCAGACGTGTGTACAACATGGCCAGGGATGAATGGGCCGCACTGTGAGCTCTGCAGCCTGGCCAGGCTGTCCTCACCTTGGCGCTCACTCTGTGGCCTTGCCCAGTGCCTGGTACAGAAGGTTCTCATAACCATCTGCTGAGAGGAGGACGGAAAGGGTGGAGGACTCTGTCCTGAGGCCAGACTCCCCCAAGTCCTCCTCACCCTAGAACACTCTCACGTCAGGAACTAAGGTTTATAAGAAAACATAGCTGGGATTCCAATGTCAATTTGCACCACACTCCTGACAACACCGTGCATGGAATGCCACTCCCCATCCTGCCCCTGCCAGCCAGGCCTCGGGAACCTGAGAGCCCTCACACCTCATGGGGTGCCTGGCAAAGCTGGCACTCGCCCCAGGCAGCCGGGATGTTCAGTCCCAGTTCCACTGATGGTCTGGTTGATTAATACCAGGTGTCACTTGATGGCTGGCAGACAGACTGGTCATCAGGAATGGGGCTACTTTGGGAAGCAAGCCCACTTTCCCTTAGCCAGCTGCCCCGCCCAGCCATGGGATGGCCTAGCTCACCTCCCCAATTTTGGACTCCCTCAAGGGAAAGCTGACCAGGCGAGGCTACTCCTCTGGCCTTTGGGACTCACTGCTCTAGACCAGTGGTCGCCAAACGTCGGGCCGGGAGACACATGCGGCTCTTCCACAAGTTACGGACTTCTGCGCATGGGCCACGAAGTTCCAATCACACTGTACATGCGCGCCCGCACGTGGTATTTTGTGGAAGAGCCACACTCAAGGGGCCAAAGAACCGCATGTGGCTCGAGAGCCGCAGTTTGCTGACCACTGCTCTAGACAAACATGCAAAATTAAACCCTTCTCCTCCTCCTCCTCCTCCAGCGTCCATGGGCTTGACAGTAAGCAGAGTGTTCTGGCCGGGGAGGTGCAGGGGATCCAGCCAGAACACTCCAAGGACAAAGGGTGGCTGAGCCCGCACACAGAGGAGATCTGGGGAGTCAAGAGACACTTTAATGTCAGAGGTGAAGGCATCCTCAGCAACCATCAGTCTGTCTTGCTCTGGGCAGACATGGATGCTGAGCCCCAGAGGGAAGGAACTCGCCAAGGTCACATGGTGAGCAGTAAGTGGCAGGACAGGACTCCTGTCCAGGACGTTGGACAGTGGGTCCCTTCTGTAGCTCTAAAGAATGGCCTTCAAAGAAGATACAGGGCTGACCTGGGAAAGCAGGGCAGGGTGGGAATAATGTAAATAATGTTTACATGGCGCTGGTTGGGCTATAGATGCTTTCTATCTGTGAGAACACGCTACCCCCTCCACCCTAGGCACGGATGAGGATGCTGAGGCTCAGAAAAGTGACGTGATTGCCAAGCCCACAAGATCAGGGAGGGGGGCAGCCTGTCCCCTGCTTTCTCCTTGCACACAGCCTAGTCCCTGGACTACAAGCTTGTTACTGTGAGGACAGATCAAGATGCTGTCCATTCCTCGAGAGTGGTCCTACTATCTGGCTTTCATGGAGGAATAGCTGGGCCTGGCATGGGGCACGCCATCCCCTCCTCTCTGGTACATTCCATCAGTCCTCTTGAGAAGTCCCCTCTGACCAGGCCCCAGACAATGGGATATGAGGAGGAATGAAATTCCTGGAGGAACTCAGAGCTGCCAGTGTGATGGTTGCTGTGCTGAGGAAGCTCAGGGGGTGGGCAGGCTGCCTGGGTTGGCAGGAAGGGTGGTGACCAGGAAGTCCCGCCTCTGAGACTACTGGCTTCCTACCCCAGAAGAGCACAATTCACCCGGAGACAGGACCGTGGAGATCTTGGAACTTCACTCATGGGCACCTGGGTTACCACAACAGCAAGGGAGGGAGAGGGGCTGCATGGAGTGGTGAGAAGTTGAGGACCCCTGGCCCTTGTCAGCATGGCCAGTGGTGTGTACCAGTCCCCTGCTACTCCACTGACCGCCCTCTCTCTGTCTTTGGCTGCCTCCAGCCCAGCCTCCCAGCCCCGTTGCTGTTTAGCTTATCGAATTTTCCTCAGCTGCGATCACTGACCTGCTTCTTTAAGCTGCTGGGTCTGAGGGTGGACAATAAAGTGCACAGGCGCCGTTTGTCCTGAGTGCCTTCCCAGCTGGTTAGAAATCCCCTCCACTCCCTGGCAAGGTGGTCGGCCAGCCCTGGTGCACACTCCCATGACGAGACGTTCACTACCTACAGAGTCAGTGCTAAGCCGCTCTAATTCCTCATCAGCTCCGGCTCTTAGAAAACGTTTCTTCTCACTGAGCTGGAATCTGCTGTCCCTAACCCCCCATCTGGGAACCCCGACCACGTCTGCTCCTGCCCTGATGGTCCTTGTAAGACTGGTGGCTCCCACCAGGTCTCCACACATCTCCCCTTCTCCAGGGACGCCCACGAGTGCCTGTTTCCTGCCAAGCGGCTCTGCAATGTGTCACTGTCACTCTCAGGGCAGAGCCCAGAGGACGGGGTGGGGTTGGCCCTGAGCAGAGAGCGCAGACCAGTCTCTCCTTGCTTGGCTGCACTGATCGTACTGTCTACATGGCTGGCCACACACGGCCTCCTGACTTGCAACCCAGCAGCTCTCTCCACCATGCGGCTTCTAAAACCGGCGACTGGAGCAGAGAGGACTTCACTGCTCCTGGTGCTGTGCTGTCCTGTCTGGAGGGCCTGGGTTTTCATTCCCTAATTCTGTCACCAACTCTCTATGTGTCCTTGGGGAATACCTCCTCTCTCTCGGCCTCTGTTTTCCTATCAGTAAAATGGGTTTTAGACAATCTGTTGGGTCCCATCTTTGGTTGACTGATGAAACTCTCAACCAAAACACGCTTTTCTTATGTGGGGGCTGCAAACCTGACAACAATGCCTCGTGGGTCAGAAAGACCTGACAGTTTACAAAGCAGCCACAAGTGCCACCACCAACAGGATTCTTCCCAGCTCTTCCCAGTGTTCCTCACAACCTTTGTAAAATATCAAAAATCAGACTTGTCCAATCAGCAACCTAGAACATAAGCTGGCCTCGAGTCCTGACCCTACAATTTAGGCCAGCCACGTCCCCTCTCTGTGCCTCAGTTTCCTCACCTGCAAAATGGGGACAAGCTGTTTTTTATCAGAGGGTTGTTGTGAGGTTTGAGAGAGTGGGTACGCTAAGAGCTTCACACAGTCCCTGGCTCAGGCAGATGTGAACTCGATTCCTGGTTATTCAATATAAATCCTAGGAAGAGGCCCCTCCTCTTCTGGGGAGGCAGAAGCAGAACATAAAGACGCCTCTGTATCCCAGGGGGATAAGATCAAATTGAAAAACCCAGGCTTGAAATAACTCGTGCTGGCAAGTTTCCCGGGGGGACGCCGGAGGGTCTTTCTGCCACGGACTCGAGAGCGGCTGCGCTCCGCTGGAGGCTGCGGAGAAGGGCTTGGGGGTGACGAGGCTGTACTCACTTCAGGGACAGGGAGTAGTCGTGCTTGCTGGTCTGGCTGTTCCGGACGAGGTAGCTGCACTCCTTGCAGAGTCGCAGCAGGTTCTCGGCCTCTCCTCTGCTGATGGCTCCGTGATACCATCTGGGGAGAAGGGAGAGGGTCAGAACCCTAGGACAGGACCCCACAGCTGACACCCTGAATTCTGCTCCTCCTTGAGGAGGCTCAGCCCCTCAGAAGGCAGCTGGCACGGCCAGGGCCTCCTTGTTATAAAGCAGGTGCGTTTGTGCACTCATGCCCAGTCATTCATAGACATTTGCCGAGTGCCTGCTGCCTGCCAGATCCCGGGGAGAGGACAGTGAACAAACCCACAGTCACCTCCCTCACGAAGCTGACATCTAGTGCAGGTGCTACGGAGGAGATAGAGCAGGGCTGTGTGGTCTGGAGCTCTCGGTAGGGACGGCTGTTTTAGGCAGTGGCCACGGAAGCCTTCGGAGAGAGTGACATTTCAGCATGGGCCTGAAGGAGGTGCTGGAGGAAGCCCGAAGGACAGCAGCTGGAAAAGAGCATTCTGGCAGAGGGATGGGCAGCAAAGGCAGAGGCCAAGGCGGGAGCGCCTGCTGGGTTTTGGAAACAGCAAGGAGGTCAGCGTGGAGTGAGGCAAGAGAGGGGGTGGGGGTCAGGATGAGGCCCAGGAGGCCCTGAGGCAGGGTCGGTTCTGGGGGCCTTGTGTGCAATGTGAGGCTTCTGGCTTTCTCCATCCAAGTGACACCAAAGCCATAGTGGGTGCTGACAGGAGGGACATGTGTTGAATCTGAGACATCTGTAGGACAATGACCAGTGCTCGTCACTCAGGAGGGTGGCCACCCCACTGCTCCAGCCGCATGAATCTGGCATTGACCGGGCACGAGGGGATCCAGCATCACTGCTTCTGGACACCACGTGGTTGAGTGGCCGAATCAGAAGAAGGGGTGCAGAGGCTGGTGGCCTAAGGCCCCCAACTGCAGGACAAATGGGGAAGAGTTGATAATGGAAAGGCTGAAGGTACAAATTCAGTGGAAGAGTGAAGACCCTAAGACGCCAGTTAGTGGGCATACTCAGAACACATCTGGAAGGTGGTGAGAGACAGGGCCAGGAAGAGAACCAGAGGTGCTGGACAAGGCGGGAGCAGGCTCCGGCTGCAGAGGCACATATGGTTGGTCACTGGCCAGCCAGGTGGTCTGGGGCAAGCGGCTTAACCTGGCTGAGCGTTGGTTCTCTATCAAGTTAGGATCCCTCCACCCCTGTTTTGGGGCTGAAGATTAAATGGGATGATGCATAAAAGGACTTATGCAGAGCCTGGGATGGGATGAATTTCTATGAATGGCAGCCATGAGCATCAGCAGGACGAGGCTGAACTTGCAGATGGCCCTGGGGAACTTCCCCAGTGATCATATTTCTGGCTGCTGCCTGCCCCGGAGGCTGTATTTTAAATTCCCAGGTGTAAGCGGGATGCTGCCTCCTGGTCCTGGCTACGCCATGAGTGCCCTGCCAGCAGCCCTGAGCTTTCGGGTACAGACATTCTCTTAGAGAAACACTGCCTTTCACTGTTCACTTCCTGCCATTCGCAAGGCGGTGCTCTGAACAGGAGCAGCAGTGCTGATGATGTAATTATGAACAAAAGGAACCCCAACCAGCTCCAGGAACGCAAGGACTGGACAGCAGGTATGAGGAGCATGTGACTGAGTCACTGACTGCCCAGGAGATGACCACTCACAGGTCAGCCCTGGGGCTGGACACTCGGAGGGGAGACTGGCCCAGGGAAAAAGCAGGGAGTGTGCAGACCTCAGAGCCGCCTTCCTTTCTGAACTGGCACAGAAATGAGGGGGAACGTGAAGCTGGGGCTGCACTGATCAAACACTTCAGAGGCGTGAAGGCGCAGGTGTGCTTCAGAAAGGCCTGTCGTTGGGAGACAGACAAAGATGGCGCCGACCTTAGAAACAAGAGTTAACAGCTGGGAAGGGTGTTTTCTGGGAGATTTCACCCGTGTAACACACCCCTAGTGAGCTGACAAAAACTGTTTTATTAGGAAAACAGGTTCCAGTCATTTGAAGCAGGTGTCCTTAACGAAGGCATGGAAGTGGCCTCCAGGGCAGTGCTGCCTGCTGCCCGTCCCGCCCGGAGCCAGGAGCAAGCGGGCTCAAGGGAGGTGGTGGCAGTCGGGCCTCTCAGGGGAGCTGCTGGTTCCCTCCTGGGCTGCTCTAGCTGCTCCAGCTGCTCCGAATGGAGAGAAAGGCAGGGAACTCAGGGGAGGCTCAAGGAGGCCCAGGCAGAGTGTGGGAGAGAAGGGCACTGAGGGGAAGCCACTGGCCAGGAGACAGGATGGGCCCGAGTGGTCTTGAAGGGGGCTGGGGGCCAACTACTGGCCCTGAGCAGGCTCTGCGGGACTGAAAAGAGAATCCAGGCAGAGGACATCTTGGGGATGTGCTGGACTCAGTGGAACTGGCCCATCAGGTCAGAACCACAGGAGTTAAGGTCCAACCGTTGCCATCCAGCCCATCCAATATCCATTAGCTCATCCAGTATTTACTCACCACTCACTCCATCCTGATCTCGTGGGGCTGATACAGGGAGAAGGAGAATCAACAAATAGATTCAGGAAAGGGTTTCAGATAGTGACAAGAGCTATGTAGGAATACTGGGGGTGTGGGGGCTGGAGTGTACTTTAGAGTGAAGGAGGCTTCCCAGAAGATGACATTTGACCTGAGACTCTCCATTGTGAAAAGGAGCCAATCATGTAAAGGGCCAAAGAAAACACGCTTTCTGTAGAGGAGCTAGCAAGGGCCAAGGTCCCAAAGTAGGAATGAGCTTGGGATGCTCACGGAGCAGCAAGGATGGTCCGGCACTGTGAGCCTGGGAGTGGTACTGGATGAGGGGAGAGGCCTTGTGGGCCAAGAAAATTAGTCCGAGTTCCTTCTAAGTGTAGTGGAGGGCAATGAGAGTTTTAAGCAGTTAACTACCACGCGTCCAAAACGGGAACCATCCTTACATGCGACGATATTTTGAATTTAATTGCACCTATAGATGCTTATGGCGTTCAGAGGGTCAATCTGAGATTGTTACTTGCTCTGGATGATCTTATGAGATCAACCAGGCTACCTGAAGAGGGACCAGAGGGGAAGTGAAGCAGGACACAAGTCAGGAGGCTTCTGCAGTGGTCGACGGGAGGTGGCCATGGAGATGAGAAGACGGAACAGAATCAGGCTGTATTTTGGATGGATAATTGGCAGAACTTACTGATGCATTAGATGCTGATGCCAGGCAAAAAGAGGGCTGAAGATGACTCCAGGTTTGTGGCTTGAGCAACCAGCCACATGTAACATGTGGTGCTATTTATGGAGGTGGGGAAGCTGGGGGAAGAGTGTCTAGGAGATGATGAGGAACCCAGATCCAAACACGTTAAATTTGAGATGCCCATTCGTCAGCCAAGTGGAGATGCCAAGAAGGCAGCTGGATGTGGGAGTCGTGTGTTCTGGGAGACGTGTGGGCTGGGATGTGCACTGGTGAATCACCACCAGATCCTGAGCCCCGGACCGTCCATCCTTCAGGTCAGGCTGAGGTGAGGAGCCAGCAGCCAGGGAGGCAGGGGAAAAACCCGGAGCAGAGTGTCTGCAAAGGAGGGAGCCAGCTACTCTGCTGGATGCCCTGGAGGACAGAGGCCGTCACCTGGTGACTGGGCAGGAAAGGGGAGCAGACTGTGGTGGGTGAGAGAGAAGGGGAGGTGACGAAAGGGAGAGAGAAAGTGCTGGCAGCTCCGTGGGGACTCCGTCCATTCAGCAGACAGTATTTATGAGCACTGATGATGTGCCAGGCACTGTTCTGCACACTGGGAGGAAACAGTGGTGACCCAAACAAGTTCCAGCCCTCACGGAACGTATGTTCCCAACACGGGCAGGAGCTAGAGAGGATCAAGATTTTATTTATTTACTTTTAAGAAGTTTGTTTTAAAGAGAAGTTCACGACTAGAACGTGTTTATGTGCTGATGGTAATCATGATGCAGGACAGAGGGGACTGTGGGCTGCCTCCAGGAGGTGCGGGAGAGGGGTGTCCCCTGAGCAGCTGAGCAACTCTTCCACCGTCCCAGGAAGGAAAGCAGATGTGTGACTGTCCCTCAACAGCCCTGAGGTCAGCCCCCGTCCAGTGTGTCAGCCTCCGCCTCCCCTCTCCCCTGTGCCTTCTAAACACTGAGGCATCATCAGTCAGGTGAGGGATTAGGCGATCCTCTCTGTCTGGGTCACTGGGCTGTGCTGGAGATGGGACTTTACCTGAGCACACCTCTTGGTGATGAGTCAGGGCCTTCCCAGGCCAGAATAATCCTGGGAAGAAGAGATGATGGGGGAGGGAGGACCAGCCTTGACTCTGAACTTGGCCAAGGGCCTTGTCAGGCGGGAACGGGAAAGGAAAGAGGGCAGAACTGTCTTTGAGGGCCCCAACCTGTCGAAAGCTCTGCAAGGGGGGTGGGGGGGCGGGGAGAGTAGGCTGGGCTGCTGACCCCATACAGACCTGGGTCAGGATGCACACTGAACAGCTCCTGGCATCTCTGGATCATATTGTGTTTGTTGATTAAAAAGTAAACAGTTTGATCAGACATAAGCAAAACCTGCCGCCCAATCTGCATGTCTATGGGAAACGGTGAACACAACACTCCCCGCACCCATGTGCTCAGTACAGCAGGCTCGGAGGCTGCAGCCTCCCGAGGATCGCACATGCTTAAAAAAGGCACACGAGCACATGACATCATCGGAAAACCCTGCATCCTGCTCACCGGGCCAGCATTTCCTGTGAGGGATACACTGTCGGCTGTGCTGAGACCAGAATTCCCTGGGCGGAGACTGATATAGTTCGTGATCTTATAAGGAACCAGCTTGGTGTCAGCTAATCTCTTGGCGGACTGGACTGAGTGCCTGCTCTGTGCCAGGCGTGTGCTAAGGGTGGGGGCAAGAGTGTGCATGAGGAGAGGGAGTGAGGGGAGAGTCACAGGGCTGGAGTTCAAATCCTATCTCTGCACTGGAACCCTGGGAGCCTACAAATGCTCTGCCCCGCTTGGAGTTCCGATTTTCTCATCTGTGCAATGGGGATGATAACCCATTTATCACACATTTGCTTGTTAAGAGGATGATACACCCGATGGTGCCAGCACAAGATCCAGGACCTGCTTTATCATGTTCCCGGAGAACCTCACTCTAGTTCAGGTATGTGGAATGCTGAGAAAAGGAGAACGCAGCCTGGGGCAATTCAGCGTGAGGGGCAGGATTGGGAGGTGGGACTTCATGCAGGTGACAGGAAGCCACTGAAGGTCTCAGAGCAGATCAGGGGCCTGTTCACATTAAAACCCTGGCAGAGAAGGGAGACGATCATCATGGTCAAGGGGAGGACAGAAACCAGAAACGGGCCTTACCAGCCGTGTTAGGGTAAGCGAGGAGGCAAAGGGGCTGTGAAAACCCAAACCAAGAGTGTCAAAGCCTTGCACGAATACCAGGCAGATGTGGGGCAACAACATCTCAAGCTAGAAAATAAATTTAATTTACAAGTAGGGACGGGATTTGGTATACACTTAGCTACTCAAAAACTCATGTGATGTAGGAGGGCGGAGTGAACTGTGTCCCTCTTACTAGTCCTCAGAAGTAAGGGAGGTGATGCCGTGTGGACGGAGAAAGCACCTGCCACTGACCTTATGGTGGCCTTGACCTTCCGTGAGCCTCAACATGCCCATCTGTATGTGGAGGCAGGGTAGGGACATAGACTGAAAGACCCCTGGAGCCCTAACATTTTCTCAGTCTGTGAGTTTTTAAAACAAGATAAAGAAAGGGAAGAGCAGTGACTATGAGCTGGGAGCTGAGGTTGGGCTGTGCCTCTGAGAACTTACATTTGCTTCTCCAGTGGGACAGCAGGATCCACTCTTTCTCCCAGGATCCCACAAAACTCTGGGCTCCCATGCTTGATGGGCTTGAAGCCCCCTCCGGGAGCTCGAAGCTGGCGCCGCCGGTCCCGGGAAGGCGAGGGGGATGACTGTCGTTTCTCGTTGCCGTTAAACTGGGCTGTGGAGAGAGAGTGCACAGTTATGGGAGCTCGGCCTGAGGAATTCCCGGGGTGGGGGGCATAGTGAGGTAAGAGTCGACTGACTGTTCTCCTTGGGGCTTTACAGTTGGCAGAAGGAAGAGCTCCAAGCAATGAGCACACATGGCTCTCAGGATGTGGACTTCCTAAGACAGGGCACGAAGGTGCTGTGAAAGCCAGGCAGCACTTCCATGGGGCTGGTTAAGTTTGCAGAAGCCACTGAGCTCAGCCTTATCCCCAAAGGAAGCCCCTGCAATCTCTAGCCAGGAGGGGGGACCCAGCATTCCTGAGTGGGCTCAGTCCCCTGGACAGTTCTCAGGAAAGAAAGTTATTCCTCATTTTGTGCCAAAAACCTGCCTCCAAGTGGCTCCTCTCCTCCCATTCTCCCATCCCACCAGTGCCGCAATGGCCACACTGGCCCCCCTTCTTCTGGGACAACCCTACAAGAGTTACAGTCAGAGTCATGTGGCATCTCCCAGTCTGCATCTCTTCACTCTGTCCCGTGTGTGGGTCCTACACAGCCAGACCTGCCCTGGGCCCAGCCCCCAGGTAAGGCCGGACAGTGCCCATCACGGGGGACAGATCCTTGCTGGGCCTATGGGAGCATCGTTCACCCCGTGGGCTTGGGGAAGATGACCCTGGAGATAATGCACCAAGAGCAGAAAACACTGAGCTGAAACGAGCTGCTGGGAGGATTCCTGGAGACCAGCAAGTCCACCTTGCATGTCGCTCTTTGGGCCTCAGTTTCCTCCTGAGATGAAATAGGGGTGATGATGGCGCCCACCTCATGGGGTTGTTGTGAGGATTCAGTCACGTGTGCCATGTAGTCTGTGCTGGGTCAGTGTTATTTTGCATCCATATTTTACAGGCTTTTATTATCATGTCTGCTCAATGTGGACACAGTACTGGTCACCTCACTAAGCTACTGAACTGATCTGAGTTCTCTCCTAAGCCTGCCCTGGCCAGCTGGGAGCCTTGGCTGTCACTCAACCTCTCTGAGGCCCCATCTGCTCCATCACCAGGCTGCTGTGATGACCAGATGAGGGAATACATCCTAAGGGCCTGGCACACGCAGAGTGCTGAGTAAACTGGGCCGGGGCCTGCGAAACAAGGTTCCCAAAGCTGTGACTAGCTGCTGGCCAAACGACACACGTCTTTGGCCAAGCGACACACTCCCCTCCCACCAGCAAGCAGAGGTGGCAAGCAGCCCTCTGAGCCAGCAATCAACCTCATTCACGGGAAGGGAGCGGTGGGAAAACCCCGCCTGTCTGTGGCGACTGAGGTCTATGGGGACCGAGGATGGGAATGAACTTGTCCTGTGACAGAAAAGGTCATCCGTCAGGTCTGTGGAGCACTTCCATCCCTCCAACACTCTTCTCTAGGAACCACTGAGGAAGACAGCAGGAAGGGAGGCTCCTGCCAGGCATGTCAGACCACGTGTGTGTGGTCACCCTCAGGCTGCAGCGGGGCCCGCAGGCCATCCGTTCACCCTCTCACGTCTAAACACTCATTCACACGGGCCCAACACACTTCAGGGCTGGGGAAACAGCAGTGAGAGAGAGCTATCCCTGCTGTGGAGCCCAGAACCTCGGTGAGGAGACAAACAATAAATCAGTCAGTCAGACCCCCAGCTCACCAGCTGGTGGTAAGTGCGTTGGAGAAACAAAAGCAGGGCAGGGAAGACCTCTTGAAAGGTGACATCTGAATGAATTCCTGAGGGAAAGGAGGGACGAGCCATGAGGACATCTGCCGGCAGGAAGGGCATTCCAGGCAGAGGGAAGAGCAAGTTCAAGGGCCCTGAGGTGGGAATATGCCTGGGTGTTGGAGAAGCAACACAGCTGGGAGGGCTGTGGGGGGAGTGGGGGTGAGGGGAGGCGAGTGGGAGGAAGCGGAGCTCAGCGGGCCTTGGGAAGGACTTTGGCTTTATTCTGAGAGAAAGGAGAGCCATTCTGATGTTTTGATGGGAAGGTTTTAACCTGGCACTTTTATAACAGAATTGCTGTGCTGAAAAGAGATAGAGGGCAAAGGGCCTATGGGAACTCCCTGTACTTTCTGCTCAATTTTGATGTGCACCGAAAATTGTTCTTTAAAAGAGTTTATTTTTTTTAAAAAAGCGAGATGGAGGGGGAGCACAGGAAGAGCAGCGAGGAAGCTACTATAGGAGGGGCTGGCCTGGGAGCCGTGCATGGAAGTGACAGAGGGTGTCAGATTCTGGCTGCGCTCTGCAGGCAGGGACAGCGGGACCTTCCGGGCACTCAGTGTGGAGTGCGAGAACAAGAGGAGACAGCAGGCTTTTGGCCTGAGCGCTGGAAGGAGGAGGCTGGCATTATCCAGGACGGGGAAGACACAGAAAACTCTAGGCTTCGTGAGCAGCCGTGATGTCAGGACTGGCAGCATGGAGCAGGGACAGAGCGAGGACTGCTGGGGTCCTGCCCTGCTCTCTGGCCACAGTTCTGTCCTGTGTCCACCCTCAGGCACAGATAAGACAGCAATGACCTCAAGGCCCCTCTAGGCTTTCATAGAGGTGGTGAGGGGGTAAAGCCCAGAGCTGCGGCCTTGTCACACGTGTCACTATGGGCCCCTCCCTGGCTTCCCAGCAGCCCGCGTCTCCCATCAAAGTTCCTGCTGAACCACACCAGCCCTCATGGCAGTCAATCCAATGGGGCATATAGTTTTTAGAGGAGAAGAAGGGTGAGGAAGAGGTGAAGCAGGTTCTGAGCTTGCAGAGCCCTGTAGGAGGGGCTGGCTAACCATGGGATCAGGCAGACAAGAAAGGGCCTGGTCAGAGAACCCCTTTCCAAAGAGCTGGGACCTGATTCTTGGTTAAATCAGTAAATTCAATTCTCAGATTGGGCTTTAGAATCAGTCCTCTATAACTGCTGATGGAGGGTTTGGGGCAACCCTGGAGGCAGGGAGACCAGCTAGGGAAAGCGATGGAGGCCAGGGCCCTGTGTAATGAATGCCCCATTGAGACTAACTGGGATGAGTCAGGGAAGCGCCCTGTGTAATCCCCCATTGAGATGGAGATCTGGGCACAACAGGAGATGGGGTCAGGGGTATGGGACCATCTAGCACAGTGGTTCTCAACCTTCCTAATGCCACTTCCCTTTAATGCAGTTCCTCATGTTGTGGTGACCCCCAACCATAAAATTATTTTCGTTGCTACTTCATAACTGTAATTTTGCTACTGTTATGAATCGTAATGTAAATATCTGATATGCAGGATGTATTTTCATTGTTACAAATTGAACATAATTAAAGCATAGTGATTAATCACAAAAACAATATGTAATTATATATGTGTTTTCCGATGGTCTTAGGCGACCCCTGTGAAAGGGTCGTTCGACCCTCAAAGGGGTCGCGGCCCACCGGTTGAGAACCGCTGAGCTAGTGCCTCTCCACCATGCCTTCCCTTCCCTCTGCTCTCTTTCTGGTTGTCAGGAATGGAGAGGAGGGAGCAAGCTAAGGGGCATGGTGTGGGGAGGGTCTAGGTGAGAGACGGAGGTTCTCCCTTACTTTTGCCACCTGCAGAGGAGAGGGAGGGACCATATAAATGGCAAGGCATTTTCACCTATGGCAACCTGGGGCTCCACTGGCTAAAATAAGAACTTTAGTATTTCTGCCAAAATAAATTCCTACTACACACCTCCTGGCACAGCAACTGAGAAGAGAGGCACAGAGCATGGAACATGGGTTGGGGAAGAAACCCAAGCTCTTCAGAACCACCAACAACTTGGCTAACTGTCCAGCCTCAGTTCTGACCACGCCCCCTTCCAGGAGGATCACTCACCATGACCCAACCCTCCACTGAGCTGTATCAACCTCTCCACCTGACTGATTCCACCTGCCCTTCAAGGGTCACCTCTTCCAGGAAGCATTCCCTGACCCCAGACTAACCCTGATTTAAACGACGGTATCCTAATCGCCAGTTTCCCCTTCTGGCTCCCCAGGAGCCCAAAGGCAGGGGCTGTACCATACCTGCCCCAACCGCCAAGCCTAGCCCATGCCTACGACATAACAAGTGCTCAACAAAAGACTGAAGAAACTTAATAAACTGTTGTTTCACTTTATTGGGGGGGAAAATATCAGTTTTCTGACCAAATAAATTGGATAAAACCTAATAACATCCTGTCAACACTGTAATTCCCTGCTGAATTAATTTATACATTTGCGTGCAAGCTTAATAATATAGCCACATATTTTAGAGAGAACAGGTGGTGATGAATGACAGGCTTAATTAGGCAAATCATTTCACCTAAAATAAAAATATACTAACTCCAAGTGTAGTGATTCAGGAGCAAAAGAAAAAAACAACACACGCGTTGAACTGAAGCTCCAAACACGACTGCCTTCATTCCTTCTAATTAAGTTTGTCTTTAATCTGCAATTTAAAATGGCAATTCTTTTAATTTAGTGACTTTCTGCAAAAGATAAAGGAAGACACAGCCCTCAAAAGAATATGTGCATTTAGAGAAAAAAATATGCCACCCTGTAGAGCTGTTTAGAATGACAGGACCTAACTAATCCCACCTAATTAATCCCACCTGTAGGCAATTACACATTCTGTTGGAGGAAGGGGTCAGGTGGGCAGGACCAGACCCAGCGGCAGCGGGAGCGGGAGAGGATCCTGGTGAATGGCTCCCCCAGCCTTTTTCTCCAGGGCAGGTGACAAGGCCCCTCTGTGATGCCGGAAATGTCCTTCCAGCAGTTGTGGTCTGGTGACAGGCCTCATTCTTTAGACCCAGCTCAGGTGCCCCTCACATTCCAGGAGGCCTCTTACTCTCCATCCAGATTAGCTTCCAATGCTGTCCCCTTTCTACTTATTCAGTAATGTCCTCACTTAACATCACTGACAGTTTCTGTGACTTTAAGCAAAACAAAGTATAACAAAACCAACATTGCCACAGGCTAATTCATTTAAACGAGAGTTCCTTCGGCATCATTATAATGACACAATGTTCAAGGAAAGGACGTTATTCGA